CATTTTTTGATTGGATTGTTTATCTTCCTTTTGTTAAGTTGTATGAGTTCCTTGTAAATTTTGGAGAGTAAACCCTTATCAGAGATAACATTGGCAAATATGTTCTCCCATGCAGTGGGCTTTTTTGTTGATGGTTTCCTTTGCTGTGCAGAAGCCTTTTATTTTGATGTAGTCCCATTTGTTTATTTTCTCCTTAGTTTCCATTGTCCTAGGTGCTGTATCAGTAAAGATATTGCTACGACATATATCTGATATTTTGCTATCTATGGATTCTTCTAAGATTTTTATGGTTTCCCATCTTAGTTTAAGTCCTTTATCCATTTTGAGTATATTTTTGTGTATGGTGTAAGTTGGTGGTCTAGTTTCATTTTTTTGCATGTATCTGTCCAATTTTCTCAACACCATTTATTGAAGAGACTATCTTGACTCCATTGTATGCTCTTGCCTCCTTTGTCAAATATTAATCGAGCATAATGGCTTGGGTAGATTTCTGGGGTCTCTATTCAGTTCCATTGATCTATATGTCTGTTCTTGTGCCAGTACCAGGCAGTTTTGAGAACAGTAAGGGCCCAACATTTGAAGTACAATTGGTTGGACGTGATTTCTAGGGCATTCCAGCTAGAAAGTGCGTATGGCTTTCAATTCACCCATGAGCGGGCAAGTAGCGAATCCAGTGATCGGGTGCGAACGAGGTGAGTTTCATTAAGGGAAACCTGGCAGGATCAGGTCCCAGGTAGTTCGGCTGGGGCGGGGATTGGGATCCTTGAGCCAGGAAGATAGCAATGCTGCGATTGGGCTCCAGCAATAGTATCTGAGGATGAAGGACTGGAATGGCTGGGACCTCTAAATGTTCTGTTCTATGTGACGTCTTTGCCTCTGCTGGAGCCCCTGAGGGCACAAGACCATGGCCTTTGGCTTCAGTGACTGGCAGGTGGGTGGTCTCCATGGTCTGTCTCTACTCACTCTCAGTACCCCCAACTCTCGGCTGCTTCTTCATGTTTGGTTATTTTTAAAAACAAAACTTTGAAATGTCTTGTCAGTATCTCACAAATGCTGTTCCCCTTCTGCCCACAGGCTCCACTCTTCCAACAAAGCCTCTCTGTACTCCGGACGAGTCATTTTTTGCCTGGATTATATTATATTCACTCTAAGGTTGATCCACATTTTTACTGTCAGCAGAAATTTAGGACCCAAGATTATAATGCTGCAGAGGATGGTAAGCATGGAGGATATCTGTGGTTGCCAGTGTTCTTGCTGGAGTTCCTTTCATTGTTGATAGGAGGATTTTGTCCAAGAGTGACTATTGCATCTCACAGTCAGGAAGGTTTGCTTTCTTTGATGTGTTTGCATCAGGGACCTCTTCCGGGTTGCAATTGAACAAAAGATGATTGTTAGGAGCGAACAGTACAATTCAGTGAGTTGCTAATGAAGATATCAATTTAGGTGTACACTTCACCAAGCACTTTCATTTGAGTCTTCATAATTCACTAAGAGCACAGGCAGGATCGGGACTGTTCTATCCATCCCATAGATGCGGACAGCGGTCTAGGAGGTTATTTTGTTTGTCTGGAGACATGCAGGGAGTGAGAAGCGCAGTGAGGGTTGAAACGTCTATCTGATAGCCATGTAGTGTAGGTGGAGCACAAGCACCAAAGAGCCCTTTCATAATGCTGCAGAGAGGGAGCCACGCGAGGCGACGTGGCTTTCCGAAGCCGGTTTTCCAGATGACCCAGACCTCTCCTGCTTCTGTCTGCAAATCAGATGGGCGTTGGGATGAGCTCATCCGGAGGTTCCTTTCCAACACAGAGGTTCTTTGAATCTGTGGTTTTGATTCAAAGCATATCTAAGACATCAAGTCACCATGAAGTCATAATATGGGTGCAAAAATTTCAAAAAAATCAAAGTGTGCACTCTTGTTTAATAAGGATAGCCTTGGTTTTCCACAAAAAACAAACCCAAAAAACGAAGGTGATAATGTAAGGGTTTAATGAGCGTGGGAATCATGAGAGATAGAGAAGGGCTTCAAAGTTGGGTTTCTCCTTTGCTCACAAGCTGGTACCTCACTCAGAAAGCTTCTGCTGCTGAGTTGGTTTGGAGACCTACAAACAAAAATTTAATTCTGGAAAATAGATGTCCCCAGACCCAAAGGATATGATGGCCATTTAAAATATATATATATATATTTTTATTGATTTCAGAGAGAGGAAGGGAGAGGGAGAGAAATAGAAACATCAATGATGAGAGAGAATCATTGATCGGCTACCTCCTGCACACCCCACATTGGGGATTGAGCCCATAACCCAGTCATGTACCCTGACTGAGAATTGAACCGTGACTTCCTGCTTCATAGGTCAATGCTCAACCACTGAGCCATGCCAGCCGGGTAATGATGACCATTTTTAAAATCAGTGAGCAAACACTGGGTGACTTAATTCCTCAGGCCCTTAAACCTCTGCTCTCTCCGTGGTCAACTGAGCAGACCCACCACCCGGGCACCATCCTGACTCAGTTCTGATGTCTTCCCCTGACAGCTGATCGACGTGTTCTTCTTCCTGTTCCTCTTTGCTGTGTGGATGATGGCCTTCGGCGTGGCCAGGCAAGGGATCCTCCGGCAAAATGAGCATCGCTGGAGGTGGATCTTCCGCTCGGTCATCTATGAGCCCTACCTGGCCATGTTTGGCCAGGTGCCCAGTGATGTGGATGGTGAGCCTGACTTGGCCTGGGTGGGCCCAGCTGAGAGGAGGCTGTTGCTTCCAGAGCCAGGGCTCCCCATTCTGACCCTTGGGGCTGTTTTGGAAGCACATGGCCTGAGTTGGGCCAACACCAGGGAGTGAACACCACCCTCAGAAGCTTTGCTTTGCTCCTGAACAGAATTTTATGTCCACCTTAGAGCCCAACACATGGTAGAGACCATCATCTTGTGTCCCCTGGGCTGGCCCCTCCAGGGGTCCTCATGTTACCTTTTGATTTCCACATCCTCAGGAACCACGTATGACTTTTCCCATTGCACATTCACTGGGAACGAATCCAAGCCTCTGTGTGTGGAGCTGGATGAGCACAACCTACCGCGGTTCCCTGAGTGGATCACCATCCCGCTTGTGTGCATCTACATGCTGTCCACCAACATCCTGCTGGTCAACCTGCTGGTCGCCATGTTCGGGTGCGTGTCACTCAGGTGGTCGCTGGTGTCTGTGCCACGAGGGCCGTGCCGGGGATAGGGCTGGAGGAACTGGGAGCAGAGCAGAGAAGGCCATCCTTGGGGAGCTTGTGGAAGAGCCATAGGGGACAGGCTATCTAAGGGGGTGGGGCCTCAAAGAGACTGTATTAAAAATACAGGGTGTCCCTATTAGCTGTGCTGGAAGTTTATTTGACGCCAAAGACCAGCCCCTGTAATGGCCTCCAGGACATCCAGACTCTCCACAGTTAGCATCCGGTTCGTCATCTCCCGGAGCGCCCGGTGTTGGCATGATGGGGACAGAACGCAGTTCGGCTCATCTCCAGGGTTCTTGTTCTCCATGGAACTCAGCCGCATGGATTCTAGGGCTGTAACAACTCAGCCTTTATTTAGTTGCTGCTTTAAGAATTTCCTTTTCAATACAAATAAAAGGAGTCAGGAGAGTGGCTCTCCTTTGCGGCTTATGTCTAACGAAGCTGAGGGAGGATGTGATGGTGACTGCAAAATATTTTCATTGCGTTTGGCAATTCTTCTTCATACATTTAGAAAGTCATGGTTTTCATTTGCCCTTCCTCTTTCGTAGGAGAGTTTCAGAGTCCCATGTAGTAGTTTCAGAGGGAGTCCCTTGTTTTTATGTTGTGGCTTTAAGGGAGGTAGTCATTTTGAGTACCTGGCACAGACAGGCAGTTTAGCAACAGAATGCAAATTTAAAATTATTTGTTAAGCTTTGAGGTGGAAGAGAAACCCTTGGTGGGGGCCGGGTGGGGACACGTGTCTTTGGGGACATGGCTGGGCAGTGAGGGGTTACCTGGCTTTTCTGTGGGCAGGGAAGTCCTCCGCCAGCACAGCCTCTGCACTAATGTTTCTGAAAGGTCAGTGGTCTGCTTGAACTTGTGAAAGGGTTTCAGTATTTCCCCATAGAGTTCAGGGTAAATTTCGGGCTCCTCAGCTCCCCCTGCTCAGGCCATCTGTGACCCGGCCTTTAAACACACCTTTAGGCTCAACCCCTGCCATCTGTCCTGGGCAGGCACCCATGTGTCTGTCCTGAGCAGGGTGCTCTGTCATGCCTGATGCTTTTGTACATGCTGGCCTTTCTGCCAGGGTGACCTATCCCGTCGTGACCTCCTCCTGCCCGGCTCCTGCTGGCCCTTTAAGGAGCCAAGTGTTATCCTTTGCCTGAGTGGTCCCAGTGCCCTCCCAACTCTGCGTAGAGACTCCCTGGGCCCCTTGCACAGTGACAGCCTCCTCTCCTCCCTGACAGTAGCTCTGCAGGAGGAGCGCGAGCCTGGCTCAGCACCCGGCACTTCGTGGGTTTGTTCGCTGAATGAAAGGAGCAGGTTCTTTTCTATGTTTGGTTCATTATTTGGTTATTGTTGGGAGCTGAGCTGCCGAGGCTGTTGTTTAGTGAGTTCTTGACAGGCCAGCAAGGGACTCACTGCATAGATGTGTAATATCTGTTCTGCGCCTGGTGCCGGGGCCACGAATGTCATGTGGCCATTGGTCCCATGTGAACTTAAAGAGGGCATGTGCAACCCCCTCTCTGTCCCAATCTGCCGGCCAGGGAAGGATGAGGAAGGCAGATGCCTGTGTGGCTCACAGGAACTTAGTCAATGATGCTAGGCAGGGGGTCCCCACATCTGCACCTGCAGAGACTGGTGGCAGGTGATGGGTGATTCTGTGTCCACGTGTGGGCGGGAAAGGGAGTACCAGTTCCTAAACTTGAAGCAAGAGAGGGGGGAAGTGGGCTGCTTAGGGTCCTGTTTTAGTGATAACATCCTGTCAACTGTCACATCCAATACCAGACAGTTCCTGTAAAACCCACCACTATAATACCATCTCCACAGACACGAAACAAGCAGGTGGCGGCTCCCAATGCCGAGGTCTCTGCGATCCACGATTCAGCGAGTCTCAGTGAGGCACAGAGCAGATGATGACTCGGCTGTCCCAAGTCTGTGTGTTGTGACCTGCTCACAAAAGCCACTCTCGAGGCCCCTGGCACATTTGTGACCCATTATCTGTATTACAGTCATGAAATGGTAGCATTTGGAGCCCAGCCTGTCATTTTCAGGTCGCGGACATGCTCAGGGACTGTGGCCTGGGCCAAAGGGCTGTCTGGCTTGCCTGTGTCCATTTGAGGCTCGACCGCAGGTCCTCTGCCCATGAGCTCAGGCTGTTGGGCTGTACCCCACTGTCGCCCCATTAACTGTTCACTGCTTAAGTGTGACAACTTGGGGACATGTCTTCCTTGGGGGGGTCTCCCAGACCAGTCCCGGGTTAAACCAGCACCTTTCCTCTGCTAATTCTTGTCTGGGAACTTGAGAGGCACCGGAGCAGTCCCCTTGCCATCCTTGGGCTAAAAGGTCGGAACACAGGGTCTAACAGCTGTGATAGATGTTCTGGGCTTAGTCTGCCTGCCAATGCCCTGCTCTGTGACCCCTGTCTGGCACCACATCAAATATTTATGTACAGACTTAATCATACACAATGGCCACCTTAGGACCTATAACGTAAAGGCACGGTTGGGAATTTAACGCAGTGTCAGAGTGCTCTCTAGATGGTGTTCCACGGAGAAAGGAAATGGGGCAAACATCTGTGATAATTCTACATTAAAATGATCAATCACAGGCCCTGTGTGGCTTATCAGAGACACGAAGTGACGTTAAGGTCAGTAAATGACTCAGCCCAGAGACATGGCGCTTACGGTCGCCGTGTTCTGGAGATAAATCCACCCCAGGCATTTCTTCTGAGAAAGACTCGGCAAACATGTTCCAATCTAGGATAATATTTCAGGATAAAAAATATTTTTAATCTTAGGAATAATACATGTTCATTATGAAGATGCAGAAAAGTAGAAAGAAAAGAAAATAATCACCCGGTATAGCAATCTAAGGGAGGGTATTGAAATGGGGTGAAAAAAGAAAAAAGAAGATCAGATCGTTACAATAGGAGCAGTAGCTTATATTTATTGACCTAGTCTCATATTAGGCACACCCAGGTGCTCACATGTGCGACCTCATTGAATTATTAACCATTTTCGTGTAGGTGTGGCTCTGTTATCATTTATGAATGAGGACCTAGAGACAGAGAGAGATTTGTTCTGGTAAGGGAGGAGATGAGCTTGGAAACATAGTAATATAATATAATATAATATAATATAATATAATATACATAAATGCAGCATAAAAAGGCTATTACACAGCACTGTGGTGCACGGAGGACAGAGTGATTGACTGTGACTGACATTGGGGGTGGGGCTAGGAGCAGCAGCAGCAGCAGAGGTGACATTTGCCCAGAGGACCCTAGGAGCCCAGAGCCTGGCTGGGGAGGGAGAAATGGGGAGACTAAGATTGTCTGTGGAGAATGGACAACCTCAATGGCGGGCAGGGAGGCAGGGACTAGGTTATAGAGTGTCTTTTATGCCAGGTTACAGGGTTGGGACATTTTCCTGTAGGTGAAGGGAGATTTGATGGGTCTTGACACAGGCCTATGGCAACGTCTTAGCTGTGTTATCTGGTAGCAGTCTACCAAATCGAGTTAGCACTTCAAAAGTCCGTGCAACAAAATCTCTGGTTGTCTCTTACTGCTGATTTTGAACCTGAGATGTGGGGAGCATTGTAACACATGCCCCTGGGGTATTGTGAGGGTGCAAGAAGCTAGGGTCACCAGGGTCATGGGCAGTGCTGGCTGGAGACTGCTGGCGTGTGGGCGAGGAATCACAAACAGAAATCGTATGGAATCTGAGAAAAGCCTCAGGAGGGTTTACCTGATGGAAGTCCATCAGGCAAGTTTCTTGTATTTCAATTTCTTCTAAAATTTGGCCATTGTTTTAGCATCTACTTTTTTTCTTTGTAATTTTTTTGCAGACGTTTCATTCTGGTCTGTTGATCAAGCTTTCTATTTTGGTTTTTACTACCAAATGGCTTTAATTACTGCTTTAAAAATCGTTTTAGCATCTGTTGTACAAGTCCCCTCATTATTCTTATTCAAACTTTCCTGGCTTTTCTTGTATATTTAATCATATGGAGGCGCCTAAGTCTCATCTTCTGAAATCCTTTTTTCCTTCAAAAAAAAAAAATCTTGTGAATTTTATTGTCATGATGTTAACTTTGTAGAATCATTTAGGAGAAGGAAGCTGGCATTTTTTAAAAATGCGGTGTCTCCATTTATTCACTTATGTGCAGTTTCTCCATGAAGTTTTATTCACATGGATCTGGCAGATTTTTGTTACATTTTTTTTCTAGCCATTTGTCGTGAGCAAGATATGTTTTTCTAATACACATATATTTTAATTACCACTTTTTGAAGACTATTTAAGTTGTGCTTATTTATTTCGGAACAAGTCTCCTTACTGAATCCTTTTTATTCTCTTTTCTTTTTACCCTGCCATGGAAGTTTCCTCCTCTTTCTTATTTATTAAGTTTTTTTCCTAATCAGAAGTGGGTGTTGAATGTTGCCAGAAGACTCTGGCAACGATTGAAATAATATTTTTCCTTTTGATCTGTGACGGGTTATGAAAATGATGAATCATATGCATGTTCTCAGTATTTAGTCACCCTCTGTTCCTTGGTCACTCAGCGTGCTGCTGGGTTTCATTTAGGCACAGGCTATCTGAATCCCAAACATTTGTTATCTCTTGGTAATGTTTTCAGTGTCAGCTTCTGAAAGCTTGTCTCTCTGTGGGCCCCTGCGTCCTCCTCCTCTCCTGCTCAAGTAGGGTGCTCATGTGGTCGTAGGAGATGGAGCGTGGTTACCACCAAAAACCTCCCGCCAGCCCAGCCTGGGAGCTGAGGCCACGATGTCACTAGAGATGGAGAGTCAGAGGGAGTGTAGCAGGATTTCTCTCAGGGAAGGGACTTAGACGGGCACTGGTTGGCAGGGAGACTGGGCAGCATGTGGGTTGGGGTGGGTGACAGCCTGGATGGGAGAGAGGACCCGAGCTGCTCCGAACGAGGGCCTTGCTGTGGGGATGTGTGTGTGTGTGTGTGTGTGTGTGTGGTGTGATTATATAGTGAGATTACATTGTAAGTACAAGTTTGAGCCCAATTGTTATATAAGTGTTTTCCTAAAGTATAAAAATTAGTCACAAGCATAATTTTTAATGGTGCCTAATGTAATCATGTTGATTAACCATAGCGTGTGAGGCATATTTTTAGTGTCGAACATTTCAGTGGTTTCATTCTGTTGGGGCGGGAGTGGGGACAGCCATTACTCTGGTGCTGTGGCGAACGGCCATGTGTGTGTATCCACTCACATACTGTCTGTCCTCAGTACCTCCTTAGTCTTGGGTGAAATTTCCCTAAGTAAAGTGACTGGGTCAGAGGGGTGAACATGTTTAAGGCCCTTCATGAATGTGAGGGCACATTATTTCCGAAAGACTCGACACCTTGGGTCTCTTTGTATCTAGCATCATAATAGACTGATGAGAAAAAAGAGACTCCTTGCAAGGTCTTGAAATAAAAATAATTTCAGAGTTTATTCAACTTTTGTGTGTGTGTGTGATTGAAAAGAAAAAAAACAAAACCAGAACCAAAAGCCAGACACCATTCTGGCCCATCTTGAATTGGAGAGTGCCTGGTGCTGAGCTGTTCTGGCCCCGATGCCAGCGTGGACTTTCTGTCCTGTCCGGACTTGAACCATCAGGGTCATGGACAACAGTCAATAACGCTGTGTTCGGCAGTGAATGCCAGTGTTTGACAGTGAATGACAGGCACGCGGAAGCTGAGCTTGACTTTGTCTCCCCCGCCAGCTACACCGTGGGCACCGTCCAGGAGAACAACGACCAGGTCTGGAAGTTCCAGCGGTATTTCCTGGTGCAGGAGTACTGCAACCGCCTCAACATCCCCTTCCCCTTCGTCGTCTTCGCCTACTTCTACATGGTGGTGAAGAAGTGCTTCAAGTGCTGCTGTAAGGAGAAGCCCATGGAGCCCTTGTCCTGCTGTGAGTGCCGCACCACGTGTGCTGGGATGAAAGGCAGCGGTTAATTTCAGGGGGGTGTGCCTGGTCCCTAGCTCAGCTATAAGGGCTTATTCAGCCGCTTCCCTGCTCACGTCTGTCTGTCCGTAAAGCTTGGGCATCGGGCCAGCCTAGTAATTAATTGAGACCCTGTTGTCCATCTGCCAGGGCAGTCCTATTTGGGGAAATAACTTTGGGATGGACATGATAATCATTTAAATAGTATGTTGAACAAGCATGATTTACGGGATGTTGCTGCCCTTGGCTGCTGTGAAATTTATTCTCTGGGAAGCGTTAACCTTGACCCCACAGGGCTCATGACTTTTCTGGCTGCTCTTAAGGAATTAGAAAGCTCCCAATGACTTCACTTGGTAAAATAGTTTCAACTTAGAAATTAGAACGTACAGTCCACTCTAGTAACCAGCCCATTAATCGCCATTCGGAGGAGAGACTCCCCCTGTATGCTCACCTCCTTTCAGCTGGTGGAGTTGTCAGGAAGGGGCCCATTGGCTTGTCCCTGTCTTTCTGGCTTCCCCTCTCCCCCGCCAGCTGCCATTGCTGACCTTCAGCATGGGGTGGGGGTGGGGGGAGGGCGGTTGGCCGGTGGGGGGAATCAGTTGGCTGGTGGGGGAAGGAGCAGGAGGTCCTGTCTAGAAACAGTGGTCTTGGTCACGGCTGGTTCCATGCTCTCTGGCCTGGCACATGTTTGAAACTGACCCTTTACTGTGGGGGCACTTGGTGGGACCCTCGGCAGTGGCCTGGCTGCCCTCTCACCACAGTTCCGGATGTGGCAGTGCTTTCCTAGGGCCTGCCCCTCGGGCCTCTGGTCCACTGGGCATGCTCTCCCTGTGGGGCCCCACTTCCTTCTGGAAGGCAGGAGTCATCGTGTCTACAGGTGAGTCTGTTCTCTCTCTCATGTGCTCACCCATTTCCTTGGCCCTGACAAACTCTGGGTGGCAGGCGGGTCTCTCCCAGGCGCCTCTCTTCCCCTGCTCTGGGAGCCAGGACCTCTCACTGTCGGATTCCTGGTCACACCTGTCACCGTGCAGGCAGCAGGCACCCAGCTCTGCCGCATCAGGCTAGTCTCCATGCTGAGCGGCGTTTCCTTTGCCACTCTCCTCCAATGGACGCATCCCAGGAGTAATTTGAATATCTGCTGTGTTTTCCTTCCTTGAAGAGAACCTTTCCCGAGCCCTTCCCCTCAGAGCAGGATCTGTGACAGGTGTGGGTGTTAGTGAGATGCACAAACTTGGTTCCAGAAATGACCTTTTAGCCATTTGGGAAAGAAATGGGTGCCTCAATGTTCATGAATGTTTCAGTTAGTCTCATCACAGATTCTAGATGGCCACCAAGGACCAGTGAAAAAGTTCTCATGCAATATCTAAACAGGTGCTCAGTAAGATAGAGGCTATCCTTGCCCTCCAGTGGGGCTCAGGATCGCAGGGAGCAGAACAAAAATGAAAAGGCTTTCACTGAGAAATGTGGGGAGTGCTAATTTTCCCGAACGTGCAGGGCTTCATGAGAGTTACACTATGGACACTTAAACCCCAGACGGGGGTGAGTCAGGGAAGACTTCTTGGAAGAAGGTGATATTTAAGTTGAGACCCAGAGGATGAACTGGAATTAGCCAGGCAAAGAGGCAGAGGCTGGGAGGGAGCCCCGGTGCGAGGCGTGGTCAGGAAGAGGAGGAAGTTAGGTCAGATGAGACCAGAGAGGGGTCCCTAGAGCCGAGGGCTGCAGAAGGACTAATGCAAGACCCCGGGCCATGTTCCACAGCCAGGTTCTAGCTCCACACAGTCCCCAGCCCACCATGTCACAGTGTCATCCTAACTCCCAGGGGAAATGTAGACAGAAGATATATGGTACTGCAAGAAGTGGTGACATAAATCACAAAGCACGCATCGCAATACCTCTCTGCCGACTGCATTTGTTTCCTTCAAGGTGGAAGTGAACAGAGAATCCCAGATCACCATGCGAAGTGATGCCCCTCAGACGCTGATGCTCATTCTCATGACTCGGGGAGGAGCAGTCAATTTGGAGTTTGGGGGCCAGGGGAGGGTCTTGAAATGTGTCCCCTCTAACTGAAGCACTAATGGCAAAAAAAAAAAAAAAAATCTCTGTTAAAGGGAAAAAGTCTCTGTTAATGGTAAAAAAAAAAAAAGTCTCTGTAAAAGCAATCGAGGAAGGGAGTGATCTAAGGTAGAATCCGACACAAATAATTAGCGGGATACAGTCAGGTTGTTCTTGTCTCATACTGGTTTTGCCAGGATGAGATAGAGACTTTCTGCCTTGTCCGTGCCTTGTGCCCACTGTCCTGGGTGCTGTGCGGCCTGTGGCTGCTGGGGGCGTGTTTGTGTTTCCCTCGGGTCTTTTCTCTGTTGTACCCAATGAAAGGACCCCCAATGCCACCAGCCATTCGTGTTTCCTATCGAGGGGATCATTCCTGTCACTTCAGTGGAACCCAAATATTTAGGTGATTCAGAAAGTAAAAATAGGAACTTTACCAACCTATCCATGATCATTGGGGGCAATTAAGAAAAATCTAACTTGCCAAGAACCATCAATTTTTTTTTCTTTTTTCATGGAGTTCCTTAATGACATGGAAATGGAAGCAAGCATGAACGTGACCCTCACTATTGGTCATAATATACTTATGTGCTATCCCTGAAGCTGTGACCCCTAACGTCTGGCTTTCAGGATGTAAATGTGCCAGTGACTCCCAACTCGTGTCACAGGTTAAAGAATCCTCTTAGTCATCTCTTTTAATAGCATTTTCAGGACATTAAATGTCACTTTTGGGTCATCATTAGCTATCACACCTGTGTAATTGCCTTTCTTGATGAAGAAAAGTGTTTTGACAATTCGGATAAGCTGCTGATTTTCTCCCCATCATTTTGCCTTGGGAGACAGAGTGAGTCATTTTGGGCTAAAGGAATGGAAAGTCTTCCTAGCAGAGATGGAAGCTGTGGGCTCTGGAATTTTACTGTACCAGGTCCGAGGTCAGAGGCACTTGGTGACTTGACTCAGTGCTATCTCTGGCTGCCTGACTCCGAGTCACGGATGAGTGTCTCCAGGGCCCCGGGGAAGGCTGTGGGGATAGCCTATGCCTTCAGATTGGGAGGCAAATGAATTGCCAACTAGAGACTCTGGCCACAAGTTCTATATATTTTTCCTGAATTGTTCCAGAGAAAAAACAAGCAGCGGTTGAAAGGTGCAGGAAGGAAGATCTGGACTCCGTGTGAATCAAATACAACATCTAACAATTAGTGCTATCTGGAAAAAACTGAATAGCTGAGTGAGCTAGTGAATGCCTCGTCACTAGTGGTGTTCTGCTTGGGGAGGGGCTACAAGAGGTGAAGGTCCGCTCTCCTAAGATGCACTGTGCTCACTCCAGGTTCAGTAGAACCGGGAAACTGAGAAGCCAGCAAATGGATAGGAGCTTCAGTTTGAGGAAGCAAACAGGTTAGAAACGACCCGGTTAGCCTGCACCTGTCTCCCCCTGTGGGCCCTGGGAAAGTGATGATTTTACAAGTATGAGCCATAGACACTCTTGGTCTTCAAACAGTTCTTACTCTTAGGAAGGAATAAAGAAGGGGGATGGGAGACCCCAAAGGACGGGATCCTTTCTGCACACTGAAGTGGTGCAGTGATGACTGGAGGGAGGGAGCCCGGCCCTGTACTCACGACTGGCTCATTTGTTCCTCCTTAGAAATCTCTAATTCCAGAAATGGCAGTGCTCTGTGGGTGCCACAGCCTCTCATGGTAATTTGTTTCCTAAATTTACTTTGCATTTGCCTCCAATGTTGGGAAAGTCATGGAATTTAAGCTTGAAATTGCTCTTCTTTGGAGAAAAATGCAAGGTTTTTCAAGTAACTTTCAGAAAAGGTGGGATCCAAATTTAAATTTTTGGTGACATATTTAAGTAATAAAAAAAATTATGCTACCCAGTAATTATATTTTTATGAAAGTTATTGTTTTTCATGATTAAAAAGTAATCAATATTCATTAATAGGACATTAGAAAAATATAGAAAAGCACAAATAAGAAAGAGCCAGGGCACATGTAACCCACCACCCAGAGTTAAATATTGTTAACATACTGATATTTATTCTATTATTCTGTCTGGGAGTATGATAATTTGATCTGTGCACATACATTCATACTTTAATTGGTTCATTTAACTAATAATACATCATGACCATTTTTCAAACTCAAAAATAAAAATCTGCATGACAACTTTTAACTGGAATATTCCAATATATCAGTGTACCATAATTAATTTTACCAGTCTCTTCTTAAACATGTAGATTTTTCGTCTTCTTTGTTATCATATACTATTATGATAAACAGTTCTCTGCATTCATTTTTTTTTTTTTAGCACATCAGTGGTTTTTTCCCTTGGAATTATTTCTATAAGAGAAATTTCTAGACGTTTAAGTCTTCGGATATTGTTTGGGCCCCCACTCGTCCCCACCCCCTGAGGGTAACCATGTACAGATTTCCCAGCCTCTGGGAAGCCTGTTTATCTCCCTCTTTGCCAGCACAGGATATAGTCATTATTGAAGACCCGGCTACTTCTCTGGGTTGGTTGGTGAAATGCTATGTCATAATTTCCACCAGCATTTCCTAATAAAGTTGGGCCATTTTTTCTTGGTCCTTTGTCATTCCCGCTCTGGCCACCTGCATCCAGGACTGCCTTGTCCTTTCTGTGCTGATTTTTTAAAAAAAATATTTTTATTGATTTCAGAGAGGAAGGGAGAGGGGGAGAGAGATAGAAACATCAATGATGAGAAAGACTCATTTATTGGCCTCCTGCACACCCCTATTGGGGATCGAGCCCGCAATCCAGGTATGTGCCCTGACTGGGAATCGAACCCAGGACCTCTTGGTCCACGGGACGACGCTCAATCCACTGAGCCACCACAGCCGGGCTGTGCTGATTTTTAAAGCCCTCCTCTTAGGCTCCTCCATACATTTTAGTTAGAGGAAAAGACATTGGAAATGATGCTGTTAGGAAAAATACAATCGAAAGAGATTAAGTTAGGAGTTATTTTCTAAAGTGAATAACCACCATTTACAAATAAATCTTGGCGGGGGGAAATGAGAAAAATAAAGAAAAGAAGTAAATGTGTATTTGCTGTGTAGGGTTTGCTTCAAATCTGCCACCTGCATTTTGGCTGTCTTTGACTCCCAATGAATTATTTTTAAATTCAGGAAGATTATACAATTCTCTCTAAGCTCTCACATGTCGAGGAACAGATTTACAGGTAAAAATTAAGTGCATTTGTTCCAAGCGGACACCTGTGTGAACATGCGAGGGTGGCCGTCCATGGCACTGGTACCTGAAACACAGGGGACATGCTGGACATGCTTCTCTGTTCTCTTGCTTGCCTGCCATCTGAAAGGTGAGGCACCGCAGGAAGCTGAGCTAAGACTGCAGGAACATGCCCCAGGCCCATGGAGCAGCACACCCGGGCTGCCCTTGGAGGAAAAGATGAGACCTGAGATTTTCCTGGAGGTCTGTGCCCAGACCTCACAGCTCAGTGGGGTAGCAATGTCAGACCTTATTTGCCTCTCCATCAAAATTCCTATCCCTGTCTTAAGTTGAGGGCAGGCAACCTAAGACAGTGTCTTTTTACAATCTCTCTCTATATAAAAGCCCAAGCAACCGTTTGACCATTTGACCAGTAGCTATGATTCGCACTGACCACTGGGGGGCAGACGCTCAATGCACAGGCATGGGCACATGGAACAGACTGATGAATCTCAGAGGAAAGGGGGAGGTGGGAGAAGGGGAAGAGATTAACCAAAGATCTTATATGTGGGGATCAGGCTGAAACTGGCAGTTTGACATTCCCCGAGGGGTCCCGGAATGAGAGAGTGTGCAGGCCAGGCTGAGGGACCTCACCGGTGCATGAATCCATGCATTGGGCCTCTAGTTTAACAGAATGATCCAGGTAGCATTTTTATGTCATCAAAGTGGAAGAGGAGCACAATGAAATGAGAACTAAAATTCACTAGTGAAATGATTATGCTAAGTCACAAACCACCGAGACAGGCTTTGGTTCGCTCTGTTTAGAATGGAGATTGCATTCCTATTTCATGCCGGCAGAGAAATTCATCAATATTCCATCTCTCTGTGGCTGTCACTAGTAAGTAACATTAGTCAGATCAGCCTGCCTAGGACGAATCGGATTCTCCTGGTACCAGCATCGCCAAAACACCCAGAGGGTGTTGATTCAGGAGCAAGGGGCAAATGAAACAATTTGAATGTTTTTCTTTGTCTCATTATTAAAGGTTTCAAAAATGAAGACAATGAGACTCTGGCATGGGAGGGCGTCATGAAAGAAAATTACCTTGTCAAGACCAACACGAAAGCCAACGACGCCTCAGAGGAGTATGTCCATCCTTGGTTTCTGCTCTGCAAGACGCCCTGTGTACCCAGCTGGCAGAATGTAGGCAGCTGATCTGAGCGGCTCTGTAGAGAGAAATTACAGCCGAGAGCAATCGCACCCAAAGATATTACCCAGGCAGTTGTGGATGACAAACAGTAAACGTGGGGTCAGCTTTGCAGGGAGGAGCAAACCACCAGTCTGCTGTTCTGATTGCCCTTCTAGGCCCTAGAACCTGGTGACAAGAATGTAGGCCCCTCTGCCATGGCTGCAGAGGTGGGTTCTGGGAAGCCCCTCAGGTAATGGGCAATGGGCATCACCAGGCAGGTGCCACACAGGTATTTCTCGGATGAAGTAGAGACATTAGAAGATGGAAAAACAATTTGGTTGATGTGTTATAGACTATCTCTGAGAGTCCTGGACATCCTTTACGGATCACTTGCAGCAGTTATAAACATCCCATAGAACCAGCTAAGCCACTAAGCCCATAGATAAGTGGTTCTCAACCTTCTGGCCCTTTAAATACAGTTCCTCATGTTGTGACCCAACCATAAAATTATTTTCGTTGCTACTTCATAACTGTAATGTTGCTACTGTTATGAATCGTAATGTAAATATCTGATATGCAGGATGGTCTTAGGCGACCCCTGTGAAAGGGTCGTTCGACCGCCAAAGGGGTCGCGACCCACAGGTTGAGAACCGCTGCCATAGATGGTCCACATATCACGTGCTATGCAGGGCTGCTAGGAGCGTGCCTTTCTTATCATGTGAACTACATGGTTTGTGGTCACGTCACAAATACTGAGCATTCCAAACTCACCTCAAAATTCACTCTAACAAAAATGAGTAAATATAAGCAGCACGTGAATCCCATGAGTGAGCCTCAGCACAACCATTGAGGAGCATGGGACATGTGCTCTTCCTCTCTGAGTGACAAAGCAGATGCCCCAAGCTTTCTCCATTTCCAGAGTCTGAGAACCTGGCTTCAGAAGGGAGGGATGGACCTTATGGGCCACCTTCCACCACTCCATCCCCACGGGTAGCGTCTATTTGCTGCACTTCTAGCTGTGGTGAGAGTGGAATTCTGCTTCGTTTGGGTATTAGGGAGAAGGTAACTACAGCTGACATTGATTTAGTTGGAAATGAAAATGATCTGTATTTTTCTCTTTAAAAGACTGGAAAATGGAGCCTAATAGCCCTTTCTCAATCTTTCTCTCTCTCTCTATGCCCCTTGAAGAATGAGGCATCGGTTTAGACAGCTGGATGCAAAGGTATCGTTTTGTTTATAGTTTGAGAAATGTTACTTTCATCTGTTATCTTTGTGCTTTCAGCGAGAGGCCAGTGGTTATGGTCCAAAATTAGAGGTTATTTTTTAAAAAGCAGATGTGACTCTGTTCATATTCAGCTTCCCTGCGTAACATTCCCTGGGTGCTGGAGTGGACCTGCTTCTCAGATGCACGAATACACATGTGAGCATTAGGCACAGGGAGAGCAGGCCTGGACCTGGCATGATGTCCCTTCCACCAGGGTATTGGTCAAAGCAGCCCAGGCCAGCCTGGCTTCAGGTCGGGGAGGAGCAGACCGCCGCTTGCTGAGGGGCGGTACGTGTGTGCAGGGAGAAAGGACCTTCGGAGATATGCTGTTACATAGTAGTGCATCTTCTTATGGCTACTCTCGTTCTCATGTTGTATTGTTGCTACTTTTTAATTGAGGGGCCGGGAAGACTCCTAAGTTATTAGAGTTGAGTACTGTACACAAACGATCATTCTAGGATGCATATCATGTTTATACCCTCGGAGATCAGAAAATATTTATAGAATATCTATTTCCATTAGACAGATGCAATATGTACTATATAGAAAACCTTATATGATATATTCGCCTTTCCATATTAAGTATTCATATTTAAACATATTGTCTGCTGCTTCTGTGCCTAGACCACATAGCAAATCCAATTTACTGAGCACCTGTCATGTGCTGGCATGGGGCTCAGGGCCATCAAAGCAGACCTGCCCCTGGATCCATGCCCGGACCCTTTGGGAGTGGGAGCATTTGCAGGCTGACTTGTGCAGTGTGGGATTGCGGGAACAATTTCCTATGCGCTATTCTCATGCATTCCAGATTGCCTGGTTTGGGGAATACAGGAGCTAGCGACTTGTCTAGGTGTTGTGTTTGTGGAGAAAACAGGCTGTTTTTGTTGTTGTGTTGTGCTATTTTACTTGTGGGTTCACTTGGGTGGCTTTGGCAGGAGCTGATGGAAAGTAGGGGTTGGGCTGAAGCTTCAAAAGCCACTCCTCAGTGCTGACCCTGTTCTGGGGCAGAGAATGGCCAGGATGAGGCAACCATGGGCGGGGCAGAGCCTTGGGCCTCCTGGACACCCGCTGGGTCTGGGCAAAGGTCATCCCGGGCACTGGACAAGCTGACCTGACTCCCGGGGACCAGGGAGACCTTCGCACCAGTGAGGGTCTGGGCAGGGACACCGTCAGAGGGGACAATGGACCTGAGCAGTGGAGGTTGTGGGAGGTGGGGGCTCAGGGAGTCGTATATCATGAAATCCTATTGAAGGCTGTTTACCACATGTGCCAGCCAGGAGTCTCCGGGGACCTCAGAGAAGTGCTTGTAGATTCTGTCTCCTTAGCATGCTCCGGGCTATGGAGATCACCCCCTTTTCTGGTTCTGTAGGTTTGGGACGGAATGGACAGTTTCCTAGGGAAGACTCAAACTTCACAGCACACAGCATGGGCCGTCTTCACCCATAGAATTTAATACCTCTCCCTGCTTCTTGTCCTGCTTCCCTGGCCCCCTCTCCTGTTTATTCCTTCCTCTATCTTCTATGCCTCCTCGTCTGAGTCTCCATTTCATCCAGATAAAATTTAGAGATCATCACTTGTTTCTTTAGCAAGCTCTTGGAACCTTACACCCTACTTTAAACAGCTTATTAAAGCCATTCTACCATCAATAAACACAGAGTTCTCCTCAAAGCCCCTCTGGTGAATAAAGAATCTCTCCACCTCATTGTTATACCAGAAAACAACAGCATTCACAGATGCCTGTAAGTCTGCAAGTAGGGATCTTACTTCGTTTTCCTTTTTCAGGGAGCCACTAACCCTTACAGTTTCTTTTTGTTCTTTAAAATAGAAAGTTAAATGAAGAGATTATTACTGAAAATAAGCCCAAGTTAAACACAGGTTTTCTTATATGCATGCACACAAGTCCTTCAGTTGATCTCTTATTCCCCCAACCCTCCCCGGACACTGGGGGGTAGGGGAGGCCAGGGGAAGAAAAAAAAAAAGGAGACATATGTAATACTCTTTGTGATACTTTAAGCAATAAAACAAAATTAAAAACAAAATTAAAAATAAACAAAAACAAAACAAAAACACACACACAGGTTTTCCCTGAGTGAGTGATATAGCAAAGTAAAGGTCAACTGTACACAAAAGGCATTATGTCTGTAACTTTTACCAGGTGCACAATGATGGAATGTAATTTCAAGTGAGATTCGTGCATCTTGTGAAATAAACTTATGAAATATGCATGTATCAAAGATAATTTTATTATGCCTTTACAGAAATTGTTTTACCACTTACCCTGTTTTTTTGTTTGTTTGTTTTTTGTGAGGAGGGACACTTTGCAAAAACTTGATTTATTCTTATTGCATATTATTTTTATTAGTATTATTCACATATCAAAGCACAACTTTATTGGTATCTTATAACTATTTGTATTTGTTACATATAACATTATTTCTAAATATTAGTTCTCTGTGTTGTTAAAATCTATTATTTCTATGTAGGAATCACTAGTGATTTGCATTTGAGTTAAACTAATGCTAACTGATGCGAATGGTCATCTGCTAGTGATGTGAATTCAGAAAGTAAGTGGTGGACAGGGTCTGAAACATCACCTCCCTCGCTGTCCCGTTCCAGGCACGCACCACACTCACTCATACACACATCCGTTTCACGGAAAAACTATAGAGTGGTAATTTAAAATTCAAAGTTGGAAAATCGATCTTAACACCAGTTCTTTTTCTTTTCCCCCAAGCTTAATGATCTCAAGGGTCTTCTGAAAGAGATTGCTAATAAAATCAAATAAAACTCATGGACCGTAATGGAGAAAATTCTAATAATAACAAGGTAAGTCATTTTAATGGCTCTTTTTTTGCTCTGAAAATGAACATATATTAAGACTAATTGAAAATTATGATCTTTTTCTCAGTTATTTTATTTTCACATATTGTCAGATTTGAAAATAATGTGTTGTGTAAAGAACGTAAATAATATTGGGTTATAGGACAGAACAAGAGGAAGCCCCTGGTCACACTTCCTGCACTGACTTCGCTCTCAGGCCAGAGGTTGCCACAGCCAGCAGTGGGCTCATGTACTCTTCCTGATGTTTTAAAAGCACTGGCAACCCGGACAGCTTGGTATTCACTGAATCAAGGTCACACTGTTCTGAGACTTGGCATTTTTTTCTTTCTTATCTCTGTATCACGGATGTCTTTACAGATTAGTGCCTGAAAATGCACCTCCTTGTCACGACCCATCATTTATGTTTGCTGCTGTGGGACATGCAGATGTCTGTGTCTTGTTTGTTTTGCTATCAGCAAACATATATTGATCACCTTTTACTACCAAGCATGTTCTAGTAAGGCACTCAAGATTTTAGCAACCGCTCATTTGCACAATAAACATGAAATTTGATTAACTGGCCAAGTTGAACCCAGGGCTTTGCTGTCTCGTCTTCCCATTGGCTTTCATTATGTTTTCTCATTACCTGTCCAGATTCTGAAACCAATGCTTAAAATGGTGTTAGGGACAGAAAGACCTAGGAAAAAAGCAACGGGCATTCCATTTGAGTAGATTTTGTTTGTGAGAAAGTGAATTGTAAAGAATGGAAATCCATAGGCTAACTTCCCTCCCTCCCTCCCTCCCTCTCTTTACCCCTCCCTCCCTCTCTCTTCCTTCCTCTCTCCCTCCCTTTCTTCCTTCCCTTAATATTTACAAAGTGCCTACTGAGTGCTGAGAGAACTGTGCCTGGACCTGTGCTGAGGCGCAGACACTGAGTCCTGCTTACATATTAAGTCCACTGTAGAATTTCTATCCACTTCTCCCTCCCTCTCTCTTCCTTCCTCCCTCCCTCCCTTTCTCCCTTCCCTTAATATTTACGAAGTGCCTACTAAGTGCTGAGAGAACTGTGCCAGGACCTGTGCTGAGGCGCAGACACTGAGTCCTGCCTACACATTAAGTCCACTGTAGAATTTCTATCCACCGAGTGACTGTTACAGGGTAATTGTGACAATCAGGTCTCTTTCAATATATCTTGACACTCAATACTTTCCCTTGGGTTCTGACAACTGTAGATCATGTTAACAAGCCCTCTATTAGGGGGGACTTTGTTGGAATAAGATTAATGCATATTTTATATCATTGGGAAGGCAGGTATAGCCTCCCAAGTTGCTCAAGAAAAGAAACTTTGCCTGTTTAGGAAGAACGTATTTCAAGTCTTTCATAGTGGTGTTAAATGAAAACAATATTTTACCTTTTAATAAATTATAATTTGAGTTTTGGGACATTTGCCATTTCGTTTAAGTTATGATCTGATATATTTTTTAAAATCAGGAAGAGATAAAACAATTATAATGATTTTTTAAAACCACAGAGGTGAATTAATCAGAAAAAAATTCAAAATGAGATGTGTATATCCATGTCTTACAACCTTGATCTCCACATCTCTCATTCTTTTCCAAACGTGTTGACTGTGAGTAAAATGGAGAAAACAGACTGGCTTCTTATGAACTTGCCCTTGTTACTTAATGAATGACAGTGACTTGGGAGAAGGACTTCCCTTCATTTCCCTGTGACCCTCCGTGAAGGAAGGAGGATGAGAAGAGCATACGAGGAAACAGGGGCCGTTCATTCTTGACCACTGTGTCTTTTGGAACAATGAATTGGGCGTGTCCAGTTTCTTAGACTTTTTTCTTCTGGATATAAGATCCATTTTCTTTTTGGGTTGTTATCCGTCTGGCATATCCTTAAGGCGTTCACTGAAAATGCAGCTTTCTAGGCAACCAGCTACATGCTGTAAGAGTGATTCTTCCTGTGTCTCTTTGGTACCTCTCTCTCCTGAGGGTGACGGTAACTCTCCTTGGGCAGGGACAGGGAAGAGAACGCCAACCCAGGTGGGAGTGATCTGACAGTGGAGGTAGGACAGGAGCGGACACTTGGGGGCAGGTCTTTACCCATCGGCCCATCTGGGCTCTTCCTCCCTGAACTAGCCTTCGATCCAGTGACTCGGGATGAAATAGCAGACGGTTCTATATATATATTTCTTTCTCCTGCACTGAGGTTAAAAGGAAGTAAGACCCAGGGTGAGAGGAAAGCCATTTTTTTTCTCATAGCTTTGTACTTAGGACCTGAGGATCACGGGGAGGGATGGTCACTGGAAATTGATTAATCCCCACACAATAATCCACTGGTTCTTGCATTTGCTGCACTGAAATTCTAGTTCAGTGAAAGAACTTGACGTTCCTTTGGGAGTCATCATAAAACATCATTTTGATAATTACCGCAGTTCTTAACTTTATTGCCAACTCATCCTTTCATTTATGCAGAAACTGCCTAGCAAGTACAGTACTTGGGGACTTCCTGGGTCTTCACCCAGACCGAGGGAGCCTGGCCATTTGGCCCTGGTCATGCTGCTCCCATAGGCAAACTGGCAAAAATTGTATCCACGACCAGCATATTACCCATATATTTGGAAGCAAATTGTATCCTGAGAATGTAAGTGGGGAATCCATTCTCCACACAGTGTTCTCCCTTTGTTTTCCACAGACCTCTGAGTGGAAAAGACATAAGGAGGCTGACGAACCTCTTTGTTACTGAATGAGAACTGCTCAGCTGGGGGTCTTGAGCACCCATGTGCTTGAACCTGAAGATGAGACGTGTGACGGACTTCACCGGAGAAGGTGGAGATGAAGGAAGACCACCCTTATAGTGCTCCCCTGAAGGCTGCCCGTTACCTCGGGGCCTCGGTGACCAGCACTTGCTGTTGATGGTTTCAAAGTCTGCTCCCTCCTTCTGCCTATACTCCCACTTTGGCCATGCCTGTCCTAGGAGAACATGCCTCCTCAGAATACGAGCCTGGCCATGCTTTCCCTCTATGTCTATCTGTGTGGCTACTTCGTTGATCTCCAATCAATTCTCTGTTATTTTCCTTTTTGTATCATGTGACTGATTCGTTGGCATATTGTGAAAAGTCTCCCAAATCAGGTCACATTTTAAAACATGCTGTTGAGGGAGAGCCCACTCTTCCCAGGAGAAACTATTTCCTCGCCTCATTCAGCTTTTTATCTCAAAGGAGGCGGCAAAGCTGCACCCTTCCCTCTCACTCACCTGAAGCTCCAGCCACAGGAAGCACCCCGTTCCTGACAATGTGCAAATCACCCCAACATGGAGCTTTGAGAGGCACCTCTGCTTTTCATTGGCTGCTCCTCTCTCTCCTCTTATTTATTATTTTCCCATTAAAAATAATTTGTGGGTATTATAGAAAATTTAGACTACATGAAAAAGTAGGAAAAATATAAATAATCCCACTACCTAAAGATAATCACTGCTACCATTTCAGGAGGCTTCTCCAAGTCTGTTCCTATGCATGTTTTATCTCTCTTTTAAAATTTTACACAATGTCATTATGCCATATATACAATTTCATATAAGCTTTTATCAAAGATGTTTTCTTATAGCTGTGGCCTTCTTAAACACTACATTAATAATTGCATAATATTTAGCCTCTAAAGAGTTCCACAGTGCCGGTCGGTTCCAGTCGGTCAGTGGGATGAGCATCTCTGTGCGTAAATCTTTCTACCACTGTGGAAATTTCCCACAGCTAGATTCCCACAAATATGTATTGATGATCAAACCACTTACAAGGCTTTTTCATAAATGCACAGCCAATAGGGACTATTAACTTGAGTATAAGATAGGAGATATATGAACCTAGAGCTCTTAACATGAAATATTATATTTAATCTTTAGTTTAGGAAGAAGCCAACGTGCTTATTTAAATATTACGCATGGTGAAGGCATTCGTAGAGAATTGGCGAGAATATCTTATTGAACAAGCCTGGTCCCAGCTTTCTCTGGAACAGGTGGCATCTTCACCCCAAAGAGATGGGCTGCAGTACATAAGGCATTCCAAATGCCCATAGTTAGTTTCCTCAGCTTTGAATAGACTATAAACTCAGTGGCCAAAGAAGAAAATCTTAGAAGGAAACTATTAAAAGATAATCTAATTAGAAAAACTACAAAAGCATGAACCAAATGAAAAAAAACAAAAACTGTTTTCCTTTTGTCTGGGCAGCATACTTAAAATGACTCCTCACAGCATTCATGCTGCTTGCAGGAAGGAGCACAAATAACAGCAGTCTTTGTACTTCAATCCCATTAATGGCCTAAAAGGGAATCTTTGTCAGTAGGGTCGATCAATTCATGGTTTTGGACACTGAAAATAGATGGGATCAAATTTACATGACAAACATTGTCAGTGAATGGCATTTGGGAGATGTCTCTGTGAGAGAATGCCACTTTCATTTCACCATAGCAACTAGAACCTCTGCCTTTTCTGAAGCCACAGAGAGGAGGCTTATGTCATCTCCACACTAACCGGAACAATAAAGCACACAGCACTGCATATGCTCGTGTAGAGAGAACCCACAGTCCCAGGCCCATACCCTCAATTCAAGTAGGAACTTTGAATAAAATCAAGTCCTTGCCCCTTTCCTACCTCCTGCCCTCTGTCCCTCACACTTTCTCAGTCACTGCACTCCCTCACAGCATAGTAATGCATAAACTTCTGCTTCAAGCTCTGACTTCTGGGCATGCCATACTAAGACTGATGTCTAATAAAGAACTAGTTAACATAAAAATGAACTATTGATTCCATAAAACCTGCTTTTCATATCATCTTCCTCCTCTCAATAGATGGCAACTCCCTTTTTTTAGGGCCTCAAGCCCACATTTCTGAATAACCCTTGCCTTCTCTCTTCTCATACTCCACATCTAATGCATTAGCAAATCCCCTTGTATGTGTCCTCAACATCCATCTAAAAAACAATCAGATCTCTCCACCTAAACCACAAAAACTCAGCTCCAAGGCACCATCAACATTCATTAAGGTTTTTGTCATTATCCTTCTAAACATTCTTGTTTCTATATTTGATGCCTACAATTTATTTTCCATGTAGCAGAGGGAAGTCTTTTTTTAAATGTACATCATATCATGCCACACTTCTTCATAGGGAAGTGAAGACTTTACAGTGGCCTATAAGGCCCTACTTGTTTTAAACCCTTGTTACTTCTTTGATTTCATTTCCCTGTTACACATCCAATCTTCACTCCTACTCACAGATCTCCTTGCTGGATGTCAATCAAACATGCCAAACATGCCTCTCTATTGTGACTCTTTTCACTTGCTATATTTTATTAGCTTGTCATAAAGATTTAAATAATCTAGCAACTTTTTGAGCACAATGCCTGACACATAGTAGGAACATAATAATTACTTGTTATGACATTTTATAACAGAAACTGCTATTATTTTTAAATGCCTTAGTCCTATTAGGTAAATGAGTACAATGATGACAACATCAATGACAAAACTAATAAGAATATGTTCTTCTGGATTTAAGTGAGGAAATATGATGGATTAGCATGAAACAGTGGTCCATAACCTATAGAGCATTATACAAATCCTAGTAATTATTTAAAGCTTTAATATATTCATTAAAATTACTTTTTTCATATTACTAAAAATGTATGATTATGTGTTTTGGTGACTGAATGTGTCACAGTTACAGATTTTATGACATATTTATGTTAACATGTCACCACACTCTTCCCTTCTCTCCTTCCATTCCAATCCCATTATCTAATTGTTGAGCATGTTATCTGATCCCGTGTTTTTTTTCCTCTTTCCTCTAGCAATTATTCTGTTGATATTTTGGAAGTCTCTATCATCATTGTTCACTTTACTATTTCTCAGGTCCACTTTACTATTTCTCAGATTCTATTTTCTTCTAATATAATTTTGAGGTTTCTCAACCAGTGTTGGATGTCAGGATTTGGAGTTTGTTGCCATGGAAACTGTTTCAGCTACTTGCCCACAGGAGGGAGCCCTCTACCTGTTAAAAGGTAGGCTGGCAGCAGCAATATTTTTGTTTAGGAAGAAGACAGTGGAGAAGGGGTCAGTTAATAATAGAGACACACTTGGTTTATTTTCACATAGGGGGCATCTCCTACTGGTGACAGTGTGGCGTCTGGCACATTCTCTAGACCAGTGGTTCCCAAACTTATTTGGCCTACCGCCCCCTTTCCAGAAAAAATATTACTCAGCGCCCCCTGGAAATTAATTTTTTTTAAATTTTAATAGCAATTAAACAGAAAGATATATGTATTAATGTTTCTACCTTTTTCGTAAAATATAGTAAAGAAAGGTGTAAATTAGAAACATTGAAGTTTGAAATTATGAAACTATTTATTGAACTCAGAATAGAAAGGTAATACAAAAAAAGTTAAAACAAATGCACCTGTGGCCATCACCGCCCCCCTGGATCGCTGCAGCGCCCACCAGGGGGCGGTAGCGCCCACTTTGGGAATCACTGGTTTAGGATCAAGCTGGGGCTATGGGGGCTGCATGAACACATAGCATCATTTTAAAATAAATGTCCCCCTACCAAGCTCTTGTTTGACAAGGAGGAATTTCCTTGTCACCTGAGCAGACATTTCTGAAGCACAGTTGGTTTAGGATCAAGCTGGGGCTATGGGGCTGCATGAACACATTCATAGCATCATTTTAAAATAAATGTCCCCCTATCAAGCTCTTGTTTGACAAGGATGAATTTCCTCGTTTAGTAGGTGCAGAGCTGGGATTCAGAACTGTGGGACCCTCAGTGGGTTTTCTAACAGGTTGCAGGGCCGGGACTCAGAACTGTGGAGCACAGTGGCTGACTGAGAATTCCAGCTTTGCTGTTTGCTTTACTAGTTTTTGCCTTGCTGAATTTTGAGGTGGGGAAATGGTGTTTGCAATGATTTTGTGTGGATGAGAGGGAAATTCCAGTGCTCATTTGCCTTCTTGCTTTCAAATAAGTATGAAGGAGCTAAGGATGCTGCTCCAAGCCCTGACTCCCCAGGCCTGTGGTCACTCTGGCCCCCAGGAGGCTAGAAGCCAGGAGTCTCTGTCCCTGCCTCCTCCATCCTCTTTTCCCCAAATGTCTCCCCTTTTCACTCCAGCGCTGGCAAATGGCTCTGATGTCTGGTCAGTTTTTCTCAGAGATGAGTGAGGAATAAAAGAGAAACTGGCCTCTGGGTTGATGAAGAGAGCCCTCGCCTCCAATTTCACCGCTCTTGTCCTCCGGACAAGCCTCCTGATTGAAGTAATACCACTGCAAAGTGGAAATCGCCCCCGGCTCCCTCTGCTTTGCGGGAATCTGCCGCACTCGGGGATTATTCCAGAAACAGGCTTCCTTTCAAGCCGCGCTGTCAGCTTCGTTCAGGCGGATCAGCAATTTATGGAGCTGAGCCACGTGCCTTCAGCGACCCAGAACTGAAGACACTGGGGAGTTCCCAGCTCTGGGTCAGGGAGAGGGGGGTCAAGGGGGAGGGGGGACAGGGGGCAGGGCTTCTGCACCCCCTTGGGTTTCCCTGACAGCCCACCTCCCCAGGGAGGCCCAGGCACTGCACATCAACCTCCTCTGCTCCCTGATGGACACCCCCCCACCCCCAGTCAGCCCCACAGCCCATGTCCTTGGAGCGTCAGGAAGCAGGAGAATCTCATTCCACACGAGAGTTGTTTCCAGGCCGGGAGGAGGATTTTCCTTCCACTCCTGGGAGCTCTCTGCCTTCCTGCCCCAGAATCCCAGACACGTCCCTTCTTTATAAGGTTTCCTGTTCGGATCCTCCTGTCACTGACAGTCTCTCCCCCTAGTAAACAGAGGAGGCGTTCCTGTTCCGACCGGGAGAGCATTTGACTTGGATGAAGCCCTTCGCGCTCAGAGAAGGAAGGAGCATTTTCTCTCACCAAGCACCCGCCTCTGCATCCACGGCGCCTGGATTAATTCTCGGTCCTCATGTTCTCAGTGGACACCCGCAGGTGAGAAGCGTCCCTACATCGCCCTCGTTAGAGAAAGGACAAGTGGAACTGACCCACTGCCCAGGCTGTGCCCTCTGAGTTGCTCGGATTTTGCCATCCCGGAATAAGGAAGGTCGAGCTCACCTGTGCACAGAACACCCCTGGGCCTTCTCTTCCTGGCCATTTGGGTCACAGTGTATTTCTGTGAATGTGACGGGGACTCAGGGACAGACATGAAATGATGGTGGTAGCAATTTCCTCCCCCCGCCGGCTGCCCAGGAAAGATTCTGGCTTTGTTCACAGGCCACTACTTCTGGTGGGGATGGTCCCGGTGATGGGATTATGAGGGAACTTATTTTTTGCCAAATAGATAGAAGCAGCAATGTTGTGGGTCACCTTTGGACATTATCCTTAAAGAGAAGAGGCTCCTCCTTCTTTGTTCTTTCCTCCAGCAAGCTGCATGAAGCAAATTGTGATGGCTGGAGCTCTAGCAGCCGTTTTGGGCCATAATGACAGGAATATCTTGGAGGAATCTAGGTTCCTGATAGCTGGGGAGTCATCAAATAACACCGGGATGCTTATCATTACAGTTTTTTTTTAAATGTGAGAAATAAACTTTTATTTTATTTAACCCAATATTGGATTTTTGGTCACATGAAGATGAAGATGATTCAAACTGATCCTTTTTTTTTGCTTTGCTAATTCCCTTGTTTTGGTGGAGGACATCCTTTTATCAGTCATGGATGATCAGGAAATAAAAATCACTATATGTATTCCAGACATAAAGGGTTTCTACAGGAAAGAAATGATCAAATCATTACTTCACAACTTTAATCAAAATTAATTCCAAGTGCATTAAATAAATAAAATGTAAAAAGGGAAATTATAACATATAGGTAAATATTTATGTGATTTTAAAATGGAGGAAGATTTTCTAGAGATGACACTAGAAGAAACAAAAAAAATTCAGTGGATTTAAAACAAAAAACAATTTTTATAGGATATACAACACCAAACACAAAATTAAAAAATAAATTAAAATTAATAGGAAGCCATAGTTTAAACTCAGCGGCTGATCAAAAGTTCTTGCCTTTCACCAGGGTTTCTCAACCTTAGTACTGTTGAATTTTTGGCAGGATAATTCTTGGTTATAGGGCTCTGTCCTGTGCACTGTAGGATGTTCAGCAACATCTTTGGCTTCTACCCACTAGATACTCAGTAGTACCCTCTCTTCTAGTTGTTGACGAGCCAAAATGTCTCCAGAGGTTGACACATGTCCTGAAGGCAAACTCACCCCTGGTTGAGAATCACTGCTCTACACCTGTGGTTCTCACACTTGAGTCCATATCAGAACCACTTGGAGGACTTGGCAAACCCAGATGGCTGAGTCTTCTCCCTAGGGTTTCTGATGTAGCAGGTCAGGGTGGGTTTGAGACTTTCAGGTGTTGCTGAAGTTGCGGGCCTGGAGACCACACTTTGAGCAGCTCTGGTACTACTTTGCTTGCAAATACACGTCATCCCCTAAAAAAATAAAAGTAATAATAATAATATTAACATTTCCAGTACATGGAAAGGTTGGGACTACAGGCAATCAAGGTATATTTTGACACTGGAGTTCATTAGTTTAGAAAC